TTCCTCTTGTCCCACTATCATGCTCAGTCTTCATTTGGGTTTCAGTAATTCCTCTTGGTTACATTACCCTTGATCAATCCCTACCAGGCTTCCTCCACCCTCCTCACCACTGACTTGGATCACTTGTTGTTCCCTTGTCCCTGGGTTTGTTAACACCACTACCTTTCCCCCCACCTCCCTCTCCCATGTTCCCCTGGAACTGTCGGGCCCGCTGTTTTCTCCTCCAGACAGATTTCTTTGTTTTGGGGCACCTCCGAGTCTAGAAGGGGAGCATCACAGATGGGCAGCTGCTCCTAGTTTTATTTGACTACAGATGACCTTTTCATCTGGAGCAGCGCTTCTCAACCTGTGGGTGGCGACCCCTTTGGGGGACGAACGCCTCTTTCACAGGGCCACCGATTCATAACAGCAGCAGAATCACAGTGATGAAGTAGCAAAGAAAATAATGTTATGGTTGGGGGGTCACCACAACATGAGGAACTGTATTAAGGGTCACGGCATCAGGAAAGTTGAGAACCACTGATCTGGAGCATCTTCTGGGATGTGCGAGGTGAATCTGTAACAAGAAGAGATGGGAACTAACATGTTTTGGGTGGCTCTAAATTTTTTTTAAATCATTTATCATTTTATTGGGAGCTCTTACAGCTATACCATTTCATAGTTCAGTCAGTAATGTACAGTTGCCACCAGTCAGTTTGAAAACATTTTCTTTCTTCTTGAACTCCTTGATATCAGCTCCGCCTTATCCCCTCCCTCCCCCTCCCTCCCCCATGGTTGCTTTGATTTGATACAATTTCAAATAACAGAACTTAACAGAAACAGTGTAGAAATAGGATGAGGAATTTACATGTGTTCCTCAAACTTATTCAGATTCGAAATTTGTTTACATTTTGCCTGACTGCCTTTATCTTACTTTTTTTCTTAATCCTTCTACTTTTTATGTCTGAGGTCTTTTGAACCATTTGGGACTAAGTTGGAGCCATCAGATCCCATTGTCACGAAATACTTCAGTGTGAACTTCCTAAAAGTGAGGGCCTTTTATAGCCACACTCCAGGTATCACAACAAGGAAACTGAACATTGATAATAATTTGTTCTAATCCATAGCCTGTAGTCAAACGATGCTCATTGTACCAGTAACATCTCTGATAGCTGTATTTTCCTCCCAGTCTGGGGTCACACATGGCATTTCTTCAGTACTCGTTAATCTGTTTGGAAGAGTTTGGGAGTTTTTCTTTGTGTTCCTTGACCTTGACACTTTTGAAGCTGCCCATTATTTTGTAGACTGTCCATAACTTAAGTTGTTGAATGCTTGCTTATGAGTGAACTTGAGTGATTCATTTTTGCAGAAATACCACAGAAGCCACGTTGGGACCTTAGCAGATCAGAGCAGAAGGGAAGGGAGCCAAGTTGGTTTTTTTGCTGAGCATTTATCATAGATCTAGGGTCTGCCAAATAATGTTTATCTTTCACATAAGCCTGCCAAATCCCGTGAAGTGAATGCTGTCCCCTGTTTCCTAAAGGAGACAAGAAGCAGCAGCTCAGAGATTCTGTGCCTCTGCAGGGCCTCGCAGCTGGTCATCACAGGTCCAGGGTCCCTGTAGTCTTTCCCTCTTCCGTTCAGCCTGCCAGCAGGAGAGAGAATCCCACGTCCAGGGCTCACATGATTCTCACAGAGTTGGCTTGAATGTATCTGGGTTTTTCCTTTAGGCTCTTACGTGGTTTTCTTTGAGTTTCCACCCTTCTAGGGTGCTGTTCTGAAGGATCTCTGGAGTGCCTGTGAGGAGACACAGGGCCACAGGCTGCCTCTTCTGAACCTTGGCCTTTGCTTTTCTAACACAGAAATCTAGGTCTCTTCACGGACTGTCAGCAGGCTGGGTGGTTCCGATGCCCTCGGGCCGCACCAGGCTGGTAAGCAGCTCTGATTCCACCAGTCATTTCCCACATGGTTTCAAGCCCTGCCCCCTCTGTAGTTTTTTTCTTGTTTACCAATTGGTAGCTTCTTGATTTAGTTGGGTTTTCTTTGGTTGATGATTTTATTTGGCTAATTTACCCTCAGCCTGAATGGAACAGTGTTGTCGTAAGTGAGCTTCTGTGGTGAGTTCACTGAAAAACACGTTTTCTGTGTTCCTTTCTCCGCTAGGTCCTGATGGAGTCTGCGGGGATGTTACCGTCACCCTCTTTATCTCTCGGTTTTACCCGGGGCCCATCTCTCTGTGGATCCCTTGTGGAATTTGACGGGGCTGTGTTAGCATATTCCCTCCTGGGTAACTTCTTTTCTTATGAGTTAATCACACATGTAGTATGTGCCATCAAGGCTTAATTGAAAGAGTAAGTATTTGAGGCATAAGTGGTTAATTTCTGATCTCCTGCAACTTGGAAGAAAAACCTGGTGTTGGCGTGAAAGTAAATTGTTCACTTGAGAGATCATACTAGATTCTTAATGGTTTGCTGTGATGTAGACAGGACGGGCGGGGGTGTGAGGGGGAGGGGCAGTTAGATTTGGCCTACTTAGTGTGGGTACTACCTAAATGTGTCATTTTATAGATCTTTTGACTGTTTCTTTTATTTTTTCAATGCTGCCCTTCTTACCTCTAGGATTTTTCTGAGGCTCTACTGGGGGCAGGCGCTGTATCTTCTCCACTGGGAAGGGTGCTGTCATTATTGACCGAGACCAAACATTGCTTGAATGAACAGCTACTGCTTAGGCCTCATGGGGCACACGGAGCCGTCCTACATGAAGGTTAAGCTCCTTTCTGGGGTTTTGAGATTTGTAGGGTTATTTGTGCTGGCAGGCTAATTTCTGGCCTCTAGATTTGAAAAGTCAATCATTGAACTTTGTCAAGTTTTCTCTCCAGCTTAGTCATGTTTACCGATTATCAGTAGTACATTTTAAGACTCCTTTTGGCATTCTCACACCTGTTCTCATAACCCCCATATGTAACCTAAACCCTCCATAGCTGTAGCATTGCCTTGCAGTATCAGAGAGGTGTCCTTACCACCCCTCAGCCCAGCTCAGGCAACTGGAAATTACGTTATTCCCTCGTAGACAGTGCAGACGTAGAGAAGAGAGCGTGTTGACGGGAGGAGTCCGGAGACCTCCTGGGGTGGCTCTGCCATTGACTAAGTGACTTTGCACAAGTCTTCCTTCAGCTTCCCTGCCTGCAGACTTTGTAGGTTGAATCGGATGATCTCTGAGTTCTTTTCCAGCCCTGTGATGGTTTTCTGATTCTATTAAGTGTCCTGCCATTCTGAAATAATGTTCTAAAGATTTTTTTGAATGATATTTTCCTCTCAGGCAGATGTTTGGAGCATGGGAATCCTCTTATATGTACTTCTGTGTGGATTTCTCCCATTTGATGATGAGAATGTCATGGCGTTGTACAAGAAGATTATGGTGAGTGTGTTACAAAGCGTAGAACTTGAATGTAAACGTTTTCTATACTGCATCCTGTATTCAGTTCTTTATGAAAGTACAAAAGCAGGTAAAACTAACCATTATTGTTAGAAATAACATAGTAGTTATCCTTTTGTGTGGGGGTGGGATGGGAATGGGGGAGCAATTGGAAAGTGGGGGATGTGTGGATTCCCGTTTCTTTTTTTAAATTTTTGAAATCATTTTAATTTAGCAATAGGAAACATCTTGGAAGGAAAAGAAAATGAAATAAGCACACAGTACAGAGGAAATTTTTACTCCATGGTCTTCTAAACCCTCACTTGTTCGCCAAGTCCCAAGATGACAAGCAGACTCTTCCAAAAAGCCACTCAGCCACCAACCATGTTGTTATTAATAGGGATATGGATCAATTTCACAAAGAAGCCAATGAATCCCATTATAGCAAATCCTATTGCCGTTACCATGGCAATCTTCTGGAATTCTATTCTATCAGGTTTGGTGCATCTTCTAAGCAGCCGAATGGAGTCCTTCACAAACTGCCGCCTGCGTCCAACAAACTGCAGTACCTGATGCGTGATTGGTTCTGTCTGGCCAGCGCTTAAGATGCCAGGGGCATGTAGCACAGCAGCACATTGACAGACACCCACCAGCCCGTTTCTTTTTAAAAACTTTTTTGTGTGATTTGGGTGGAAGTTTATAAAAACATTGCTTTCTCATTCAATAATCCGTCCACATTTTGCTTTGTGACATGGACTGCAGTCTGTACCTGCGCGCCCTCCTTGCCTCTCCAGTTTCCCTTCATCCTCTTCCCGGTCCTTCTCGCCTTCTGAGCTTTCTCTCTGGGCTTTTGATCTCATGTGGCTGATTGTTTGCGCCGTGCCTCCCTGGTGTTCTTGTTCATCGTGTAGGCCGCGCTGTTAACCGCCTGGCATTGAACCATGGCGGGAGGGTAATTCAGTTCCAGGCCTGGATGGTCTCTCAGGGTCACGGTCCTGAGGGTTCCACAGTCTTGTTTCACTACCTTGAGTTTCAGTCCGTGTTTCTTACCCAGTGTATCCAAGACCTCTTGAAAGTATAGAACCTCTTTCAGAATGGTCCGTTTCTGTTTCTTGATCTGCAGCTGGATACATGTATGTATCTGGCTTTTAAAATTTATTAAGCTGTACTTTTATGATATGTGTCCTTTTTTTTTTCACCGACCACTGCTGTTGAGCAGATGCCAACTCATACCTACATAATAGAGCAGAATAGAACTGCTCCCTAGAGTTTTTGAGGCCAAGTCTTTATAGAAGAAGACTGGATCATCTTTCTTCCTCAGAGAAGCCGGTGGTTTGAACGGATGACCTTTTGGCTAAGGTTTCTTGAATAAAAAGCTTATCAAAACAAAAACACACAAACAAAAAAAATTCCATTCTTTAAGTTACCCTAAACTTGAGGGAAGTAAATAAATGTATACAATGATTTCCTGATGAGAGTTTTTTTTTAATAAAAACAGTTTAAAGAAATTACAACAAAACAACCTGATTTTCTTGGGACATAATTGACATATACAATTCAGTAGTTCAATCATATATCAAGAAGAGTTATATGATCATCACCACAATCAATTTTAGATGTCGTCAAGTTTTGATGTCATATTTTCCTATTGAAGTTTTAAGTATTACTGTAAAATAAATGTAATACATATTTATTTTGTACTTATATGAAATAGAAATATAAAACTCTCATTCATTTTGAGGGGGAAGTTGGGTGCCCTGGTGGCAGCGTGAGTTACGAGGTGGACTGCTAACCCCCGGTCAGCAGTTTGAACCCACCAGGTCTTCTGCAGGAGAGAGAGGAAGCTTTCTGTTCCTGGAAAGGTGACCGTCCTGCAAACCTAAAGGGGCAATGCTTCTCTGTCTGGTAGAGTCACTGTGAGTTGGAATCGATTCTATAGCAGTTGGTTTGGTTTGGTTTGATTTTTTGGTAAGCCACAGCAAAATTTGTTAAAAATTATCAAAGACCGAAGTAGATTAGGAGTTGCCAGGAGCTGGAGAAAGGGAGGCCTAGGAAGTGACAGCTATTGGGTCTGGGGTAACGGAAATATGCTGGGATTAGATAGTAAAAGTTGCACCAATATTTGAGTATACCCAAACCCACCAGATTGTGTACTCTTAAAGGATGAATTTTATGGTATGAATTATTTTCACATAAACATTTTTAAATGATTCATATCAAGAAAAGGTGAAATTCTTCAAAGCCGGCAGAGAAAAGTTCGTAAGGAGGAAGAAAGAGCAAATCAGAGGCAACCCCACAGAACAGCGTCTCCTTTTGCTGCTTGAATTCAGTTCTGTCGAGTCTCTCCTCAAGGTTGCCCGTGAGCCAGACCCTGAAAGGCAGAGACATAAATCATGAAACCGAATCCCTTCCCACTACGGCCCGACTTCTCGTTGGAAATTCACCCAAATTGCCATCAAACTGATTCTAACCCAGTGACTGCAGAATAAAGTAGACCTGCCCCAGAGGGCTCCCAAGGTGGTAAATCTCTATGGAAGCCGACTCACATCTTCTCTCAGGACGACCGATGGGCTGAAACCGCCAACTCAGTCAATGGGCAGCTGGGCTCTTAGCTCCTATGCCATCGAGGCCTCTTGGAAATAGGTCCAAGGCTACCTACAAGGGCAGAGGGTGAGGACTGCTGGGTCATGACTGAAGATACATGAAGTCATTACAGGAGCATGGCCGTCACATTCCGGTGGCTTCCATCTCCCTTAATTACAAGCCATCGTTTGTCTTGTTGGCTCCTGTCTTATGTGATCTGGTCTTCCTTTACTTCTCTGCGCTCCTGGTTCCTGTTCCTCATCCTCATTCCACGCACACGGTTCTTGTTGTGTCTCTGGGCACCCACGCTTGCTCCTTCATCCGTCTGGAGCGATTTCCCCTCAGATCAGTACTTGCTTCCTCCCATCTGTCAGGTCTCTGTATAGGAGGTCCTTTAGAAAGGCAGCCATTTGTCATTCATTCAGTGTTCTCTCAACTGAAGAAACAACGAAATATTTACCAACCATTTAATCTGTGCCACTTTTCTAGGTGTGTGGGATATATCAGTGAATCAAACAGGGTGATCCCTGTCCTTAAGGAATTTAGAGTCCAGTGACAGAAACAGGAAATATAATCAACATAAATCATATGACGAGGGGATACTTGCTGGGGGGGGGAATGAGTAGAGTAAGGAGTGTAGATGGGAGAATGTGGAGAAAAGGGAGGACATGCTGTATGTAGAAGAGACAAAGCAAAGGTATATGCTTAGTATAATTCAGGAAGGGCAAGAAGGCTAGAGGGGGGCTTATTCACGGCTATTCAATTGATTTTCACTCAGAGGGACCCTGTAGGACAGAGTAGAACTGTCCCTGTGGGTTTTTGAATCTGTAACTCCCCCCCCCCCTTTTTTTTTTGAGCCTGTCCATCTTTACAGGAGCCAGCAGAAAGCCTCATCTTCCTCCTGATGAGTGGCTGTTGGGTTCAAACTGCTGCCCTCAGAGTTTAGCAGCACACTAAGCTACCAGGGCTCCTAGTGTGACTGAGTGGAGCCAACGAGAAAAGTAGGAAATGAGGTGTCAGGAATTAGGAGATCAAACTGCATGGGCACCTTGCAGGCTATTAGCCGGCCTTGGTCTTTTCCCTGCAGGAAATAACGAGCATTCTAGGGTGGTGAGCAGAGGGATGCCAATGGTTTAGCTTTTAAGAGAATCACTGAGACTGTCAGGGAGGAAAGTCTAGAAACAAGGAGACTGGTTAGAAGAATACTGTAGTCATTGGGATAAGAGATAGTGGCAGTGAAGGTGGCGAGCAGTAGTGGGGATGTGGATGTCTTAAAGTAATTTTTAAATTAGAATGCAGTGAACTTGACATTTTTTGACCCAAACTTTTACATGATTTTATAGCTTTTAAGATATGTATAGAGTCATGTGACCACCACCATAATCAGAATGCCTTGTGAAGGGGAAGCTAACATGATTTACTGATGGGTTGGATGGGATGAGTAACTTGAGCAACCAGAGAGTTGCTGTTGTCAACTGAGATGGAGAAGACTCACGATAAAGTAGGGATGATCAGGCGTTCCGTTTTGGACATAAGACTATACTTATGTCTTTGAAATCATAAATGTTTCTTATGTTTCTCAGAGCCTTTTCCTTCTTTTAAGTGACTGCATAGAATTCTAGTATATGCATATACTATTGCATATTAGTATTGGATAAGTTCCAAGCAATCATTTTACACAATTGAATATACTTGTAAGTAAATTCCCACAAGAAGAGTTGCTAGGTAAAGTCTATGTGAATTTGTAAATTTGATCAATATTGCTAAATTGCTTCCCAGGAGAGTTCTATCAGTTTTTACAAATATTGCCAATAGCACAAAAATGCCTGTTTCTCCATACTCCACCTCCATCAATATAGGGTATTACCCTTCTTGACTATTGAATTGTTTTTGTTTTATTTGTTTTTCTATGCAGGAATTACATTTTTATGTAGTCAAAAGTATCAATCTTTTTTCTTCTTTTTTTTAAAGTATCAATCTTTTGTTGTCGTATTTGGAAAGCCTTTCCTACTCTGGTATTTTTTGAACTTTCCATGTTTTCTTCTAGTATTTTTAAAATTATTATTATTTTTTCCTCAGTACTTTTATGGTTTCCTTTTTTATGCTTAAATACTTGGTGTGCCTGCATTTTACTTTGGTATAGATTCCTGACTTTAAACTCTGAAACATAAAAATTGTGTTTTCATGTTTGGATTCTGAGTTTTACAGATTTCTTTGTGACAGCATCATCCACATACACTTAGATTTGTTATGGCATCGTTCACATAGACTTAGATCTGTGACGGCATCGTCCACATAGACTTAGATTTGTGACGGCATCGTCCACATAGAC